TTGCACTATTTACAAATGGAACATTTTGTCCATTTAAAGTGAGACAAGACTCAGGCGGTTGACGACTACGAGAGAAGTAGACCTCCTGAGTCTTATCTTCATTAATTTTAATATTCCAGCGCTCACACCAGGTCTCCATTGAGCTGAGACCGCGCTGGAGTTTTCTAACAATAAAACCCTCCTTACGATCTGTCGCGTACAGACAGGTGTCGTCTGCAAAGAGTGCCATGTGAACACCATGTGTTTGGGGGGCATCATTTATGTACAAATTGAAAAGGGTAGGGGAGAGGACTGAGCCTTGTGGCACCCCTGCTTACATTTCCCTTGGGGTTAACATTTGGCCTTCAACCGAAACCCTGAATTTACGCTGAGAAAGAAAGGACCCAATAAGTTTGGTCAAACTGTTCGAGAATTCCAATTTTGATAACTTATATGTACAGCAAGCCTGAATGCCACGTGGTATCAGGCTTTTTTGATGTCCGAGAACACCACAGCCGTAGACAGTTTGATGTTGAAATTAAGGGTCACATGGTCCACCAGCCTCATACATTGCAATGTCGTGCTGTGACGTGCACAAAAACCAAACTGGCTTGCGTTGAGCAAGCTTCTTTCTTCTATATGTTTTTGTAGTAATTTCAAAATTACTTTTTCGAATAGTTTTCCTGTCGTGGACAGGAGGCTGATCGGACATAGATTTTGTGGGAATTTCGGGGCTTTACCGGGTTTGGGTAAAGTTATTACTTTTGCTTCCTTCCAAGTATTTGGAAAATGAGAGAGCCGAAGACAATGATTAAATAAATGAGTTAGGTGAACCAGTGGTCGCCTTGGAGTTGCCTCAGACATTCATTTGGGATGCCGTCACTTCCACAGGCCTTTCTCAATTTCAAGGAATTTATCAATTTTTGTACGTCACATGGTCTGATCCTTTGAGGGGGTTTGTTGTCCACGGTATCGAGCAGAGCTTGAACTCTAGCCTCCTCTTGCCGTTCATGGTTATCGTCGCACAGATTGTGCGGCATGAACTGATTTTCCAAACAACCAGCAATTGCATTGGCTTTTTTGAATGTGTGAAATTTAATGCCTGCAGCACCATGAATAGCAGTTGGTGCCCTTGGTCAATCCCTCTTTAGGAGGGATTTCGCAATTGGCCATATACCCTGAGATGTGACTTCAGCGTTACCTATTTTTGTTTCCCACCGTTCAAGTGCCTTTTTTCGGGTCATTCGCATGATTGACTTTGTGACCCAATTTAGTGCTGTCTTACACGCTGGATCCCTGGTTTCTTGCCACAATTTTCGTAGCCTCTGCTTATGTTTTAACAGGCGACCTAGACCAGGAAGATCGTTGTTTATGTCCAAAAGTGTAACTTTTCTTGTGAACAACCTATATGCGGAAGCAATAGAGGCTGCAAAGTCGCGCGCCGCTTTATCGGCTTCTACCCCAGACGTAATTTCTATTTTAGGTGATATTAACTCCAAGGCGAGGCTTTGAAACCGCTCCCAATCTGTGAATTCTTCAGTAGGTTCCAAAAGGTTCCTAATTTTAACATGATCCAGTATGTGGAATACTATTGGTAGGTGATCTGAATCCAAAATATTGGAGACAGTGACATCTGACATTCTGATATTTTTGTGGACCACAATATCCAGCACATCACCATTTCCCGTAGGGGAATAATGAGTGGGACATTGTGGTGGTGAGATTTCAAAATCACTCATATAAAATAAATCCATGAGTTTCAAGCCTGAGGGGTTTGAAACTTTGCTATTCCAAAATGGATGCTTAGCATTCAAATCACCTGCCAAAATAGACTTACGTCTAAAGCTTAAGAGCTCAGTGATGTCAGCATCGCTCCAGGCCCTGCCTGGGGATTTATAAACAGCTGTAAGCAATACTTCACTGTTACCAATTGGTATGCAGACCCCTGTCGCTTCTACTGAAATAAGGGTTAGTAGGTCTACATGGTTATGGGGGATGCCTTTCCTAACTGCAACTGCAGTTCCGCCTTTTCTGCCTGAGTGGTGGTCGGTTCTATGAATATGGTAATTTGAAGAAAAAATCTCTCATGAGGTTTCAGATGTGTCTCTGAAAACAGGGCCACATCTATGCATAGGTCTTGCAGCCATTTACTGAGCTCATAGCGCTGCCTCCCAATGCCGTTCGCATTAAATGCTATGATTTTGAGTGGCCTATGAACTCTAGTGGCCATTTTGTTTCATGAGATTTAATACAATTTTTGTAATGGCCATTATTTTGTCCTCTTCAGACACTGCACCATTGATCTCTGTCATCATCTGCTGTACTGCAGTCACAACTCTCAACATATTGTAGAGAGGTTTACTATTTGCATGAGGAGCCTGAACTGACTGACCTGTATC